TTTATTTACTTTATTTCTTTATTGCATGTTGGAAAAGAGTTAATTTGTGATAAGATTCAGCAAGATGGGATAGGAGGTGGTTTATGTTTGTCTTGATGTATCACTGAAATAACTCTTTTGACAGTTTGGTCTGGTTCACTGCTTACATGACTCCTTAATGGGCGATGAGACAATAGCAAACAGGGAAAATCAAAATCTTACCCACCACCTACACGTTGCAGTTTTGGAAAGCTGTATTCTGGTAAATGGTTGCTCTTAAGCTGTTTCTTGTGCCTCTTTTTTAATTTTCCATCATCACCTTAAATGTTTTTGATCACTAGAGTCACCAGTTACATGAAACCATTCAGATAATCATACGAGTGTGAAATTATGAGCAGTTTATTTGCAGTGTTAAGATCGTAGTCGAGAGTCATCCGTGTTTGGTCATGTCTGCGTGCTGCACAGTGGTGAACTGAACAGAAAAAAACTCCAGCCATTCCTCATTTTGTTCCCTCCGTGTCACTGGAGGTAGCTGCATTTGATCTGCATCAGTGTCAGTGCATCCCGAGTATTTCAGTTGTAGCTGTAGAAAGTGTAAAGAAGATTTGATGTTTTTGCCAATTCGAGCCTGTTTTTGCAGAAAGCATGCAGCCAATTGTTGTTGTCGTGTGCAAATGGTGTTTTTGTGCTAATTCTCGTGGTGCACTTCTCTCATCGCCTTCATAAAGCCTCTGTGTGTGTGTGTGTGTGTGTGTGTGTGTGTTTGGTGGTTTGGTGTGCGTTATTATGTTCGTATTAATGCACTAGTGCCCCCTGGTGGTACAATAATGTGTCTTCAGTCGTGTTTTACCTAAAGGAAGAAGCATAGTTGTGATTAGAACCTGCAATTATGCAGAAAATAATTGGAACCTTCATTCATGTTTAGACAACAGTGGAGTTTTTCTTACTGATCCAGCTTTACAAGCTGCACAGAAACTCAAATTCATCTGAGTGTGAACTGTGTCAGTAGATAGAGCCAGATTTGTCCAGAAACTTTGAAGTTTTTTCTATTATTTAGACAAAACTGGAAAAATATGCTTTGAAATTATAATTTACATTGATTCTTAACTAGTTTCTGTAACTGAATCAGGCTCCAGTCTCTACATGACAATGCAAAGTATTTATTTTTGCTAAATGATTAAATAAATCAGTATGATAATAGAAAACCAACCACTAAAATGAACAAAAATTTGAATGTTATGCCTATTTATCACTCTTTTGTCTGCTGGTTACACATTAATCAAGGTCAACAAGTGATTCCATGTATTATATGAGATGAATGAGTCATCAATTACAGTATAGTAGTTTACACTGATGAAAAAATACACAAAAATCCACTTTTAAATATTTGTCAATTTTTGAATGGTGTGTGGAGATGAGTGTTTTTGTGTCAAACTGTTTGTGAGCTTTATGTGTGAACCTGTGCAACACCTAAAAAAATCAGATGAAAGATATTAGAACAATTTTTCATTAATAAAATTATCTAATTAAATTGAAAATAGCTTTAAATATAAACGTGATTCCCCAAGCGGTCTGGTTTCCAGTGTTGCACAGCTTCTAATGTGAAATGAGCCTGATTTCATCGTTGAGTTCTCGTTTTGCACACTTCTATTCTTTGTGTTCCTTCCATCTCGACACAGTTTGGAGATTCCCAGCAGCTGCGTCTTGTGAGAATTTTGCGCAGCACAGTGATGGTGCGGGTGGGAGGAGGCTGGATGGCTCTGGATGAGTTCTTGGTGAAGAATGATCCGTGCCGAGGTGAGTCCAAGGAGAAAAAACACTCCGCTGATGGAATAAATAATAATCTTATCTTATTTAACCCAAGACCTGGTAGATTAGTTCCAGTCATGTATGCCCATTCAGTTCTTTTTCCTTACTTCAACAGTGATGTCATCACTCTGAACAGGATCTTGCTTGTGTAGCCTGCAGTACATCATTGAGATAAAGCCGATCATAGGAATTAATTTTTTTGAAGGAAATAAAAAATAAATCATCTCGCAAACGGCACATTTTGCCAAAATGTTTGCAGGAATGCTTGAATACTCCCTCTGTTACAGTTTTAATGCAGTTTATTCATTGATCTATGTGTCTCCTGCTTTTAACCCTCCTCCTGCTGAACATGACTTCGTTTCTTCTAGTTCATCACCACGGGAGCAAAATGTTGCGCTCGGAATCAAACTCTTCAATTACTCAGTCTCCTATAGGTTGGCACATCTCACACTTTCTCACCTTGCTCCATGAACCCACTAGCGGTATGTGTGTCTGCACATCGGAGTGCGTGCTGCTTGTGCTGGCGCTGCAGTGTACCACGTGTGTGAGCATCGTTGTGAGTGAATGACCTCATCAGAAACCAGCCGAGCTCCCAACCAGCTCTTATTTCATGCATGCAGTTGTTCATATCAGTCACATCAGCTTCTGCCACTTTCTCTGGAGCGCCACAGTGTTGGGACTACAAATTCAATTCTAAAGTTTCTTGAAGTTGTGACGGAAAAGGTTTTTAAAACTCTGTGTAATATTAAAAGCACTACTTATCTGCCTGAAGTACTTGTAAATAAACTCAGACTTTTTCATTGTCATTGTGACAAATTTTCAAAAACCCAATTTATTTGGACTTTCATAATTTAACTGTTTGGCTTTTAGCTTTAAAATGCATGCAACCTAACAGAGTGATCCTGCATAGTGTTTGTATGTATGTTTGGTAAGAAAAGTCTCTTTGTGCAGTTTTAATATGTAAATTTGGGCACTTTAATGCATATATTTTCCAGTGTGCTACACTGTAAGAAATAAAACGTTGAATTAACTTCACCAAGTCATGTCAACTGGTTCCACTAAGCCTGGGTGCTGAAATGTAAAGAGTAATATAAATCTTATAACAGTTTTATTTAGTCTTTACAGTTAAACAACTGGGTTAAGCGGAACCAGTTAACATAACTTGGTTAAATAAATTCAACATTTTATTTCTTACAATGTTAAAGTAAACAGTGCTGGTTGAGAAACAAAAACAGGATTATTCCACTACTGTTGGCAGCAATACTTATACTTCTGCTGGACAGTATGGCGATGTGATACTGCATGAATCATGTGTTATGCAGGTGAAACTGGAAACGTTAGAAGATGATGTAAAAGTCCATTTATTTCAGTAATTCAATTTAAGCCTAATTTACACTTCTCCGTCTGCGTCGGTACGGAGACACGCAACGCCATTACGCGTCGGTGCAAGCGCTCTCTGATGGGCTTGCAGAGGGTGATGGAGACATGCCCACATTTTTAACTATTCGTCTAAAGTGATGGAGACCGCAAGTTTGTAAATGGTCAGGACGCTGCTTCCTATAAATTTGTTAACAGCACCATCATTTCCCCGTCAATAAAGATATTTAGCGGCGCACACGAAACAGATTGAAGAACGCGTCATGAAAAACGTTCCTGCCACCTGTGTACTTGACAATTCTGCATTCCTGACATTGCATAAAAGAGCCTCTCGGCTGTAATATTATACATATTTTTTGTGTACTTACTGTAAAGATCCCCTCCGGTCCTCATGCCGGTTGTGTGCCCCCTCCACTTCTAAACTCAAAACTACGTCCATGCTATCATGGACTGCATACGTGACTGCAATGGTGGCAGGATACCCCAGATTAGCGCTACACCCTCTGTTCTCCCAGTGGGGAATTGTTTTGCAACACTCCCCAGGTGACAGAGAGGTCCAAAAGTAAAATGTGTGTATGTCTGTCCTTCGCGGAGCCGACGGAGAAGTATAAATTAGGCTTTAGACGCAAAGACCATCTAAAGGCTCAGGACACCTTTGCAGGTGTTTAGGATTCATTAGCAGATTAGAGTGTGACTCTTTGGGTCTATAATATTGAACCTTGTCACAATATACGTACTAGTTGTTTGAGATTTAGAATTTGGGGGTTTCATAAGCTGTAAGCCACAATTATAACAAATAAAGACAGAAATGTCTGGCTTTGCAAGTCTTTCTCATATGTTAGTTTCACCTTTTAAGTTGAATTACTGAAATAAATGAACTCTTGCACCATACTCTAATCGTTGGAGTTTCCCCCGTACATGCTCAAGAGAACATCTTCACATGCTAACACTTTATTTTGAAAGTCAGTAGTTTTCTTTCTAAGTCCTAACTACAGGAACATTCCTGTAAATCACAAGTAGTATGGTGAAATCAAAGAAACTGCAAAACTGACGTTTGTCAAATTATGAGGAAACTCGAGACGCAGAAGGGAAAATAAAGTGTTAACTCGTCATCATCTTCGTTGTGGTTGTCCACATCACCAACAGCTCTAAAGGCTAGATCTGTGCTTTAATGGCTCATTTAGAGTTCTGTTTCTCAGCCAAAGGCAGGACCAACATGGAGCTTCGGGAGAAATTCATCCTCCCAGAGGGAACCACACAGGTGATGGCGAGCTTCCGCTACAGAGGTCGGAGGTCTCGACCGTCATCCAGAGGAGCTTCCCCCAACAGATCCGTGTCCAGTCAGAGCTGCCCGATTCCAACAAACCCGATAGCGGTGGGAACTCCCAAGGTGAGAAGAGTTGCCTTGGAACCTGTTTCTCTATCACTCTATACCAACCAGCCCCAGCCATTTATTAGTTTGTGGATCATTTTGGCAGATTATTATTATTATTATTTATTTATTTATTTATTTATTATTTATTATTATTATTATTATTATTATTATTATTATTATTATTATTATTATCATTATTATTATTTGACTCTTTCTATTAGTGGGCCAAGTATTTTTATTATTATTTATGAATCCATGTTTATTTTCATTTGCCATTGTTCCTCAGACACCCCAACACATTACCCGCAATTATGATAAGCCATGGCTTTCAAACAGCAAACCCGCCACCCCTCTTAAATCATCAGACTCCTTTGAGAGCCAAGGTTCATCCTCAGAGGTATAGTCATGTGTAGCGCATGATGCAGAATGCTCCACCCATCTGAAATCTGCACGTTTAAAAGAATGAAATCCAAACCTCCGCATAACTGCAACTCTCTTCAGAGCAGATTTCAGTTGGGTCTACAAACACTGGCCTTTTTCCAATCGTGACCTCAACGCTTGTCTGTAATACTTGTGCTTTTCTTTGGTCTGGTTTAACTCTGTGATTTGATCTGCTTGTTGACTTATTAACTCCGACTAACTCTACTCACAGGAACGCTGCTGACTGTGCAAAAATAATGATTTTTGAGAAGGAATTTTAGTCAATTGATGCTAACACTGTAACCTTTGTAGTGTTTTAGCGAACAGCTTGGTGTGTCCATCCACTAAAGCCTTTTTCAAAACAGTCCCAAATGAAAATAAAGTTAAATTTTCACCGTTTTTATAGAGTACAGCAGTACACGGCAGCAAGTTGCGCCTTCCTGGATACTTGTCTGGTAAAGGATTCCAGTCCAGCGAAGAGGGAACCTTGATCAACGCTGCTGTCCTGAAAGCTCGAGCACAGATGATAGGCGGTGAGTAAACCTGGAGTCCCTGCACGTTTGCACCTGTTACCTGAAACTGACTAATCTGTTGGTTTTATTTTACTAGAGTCCAGGAAAAACTCCAGCCGACCAGGAAGTAAAGCTGGAAGCAGAGGGAGCAGCCGCCGAGGCAGTGACGCCTCCGACTTCGACATATCGGACATTCAGTCTGTGTGCTCTGACGCATCTGAAACAGTGGGTGACTCCGCGCGCGTGACGCCGCGCTCTGCGTCCCGCCAACATGGAAAACCCTCCAAGATCCCCACACCTCAAAGAAAATCCACCCCCACGAGCAAACTGGCCAAGGGATCCAAGCGATAGTTGGTGGCCTTGAAAACAAACAACCCTGGAGCTAATTGCACCCTAAACCCACGACAGACACTGGAGATGTCTACCTTAAGAGACTGCAAGTGTGTTGAGTGTTATTTAAACTGTTGCAAAGATGTAAAATATCCTGTTAAGAGGCAATATGGTTTAATGTGATGTGAGAATGGAGCGTTGATGACTGTGTGTATTTGTTTTTAATGTATTTTATTTTTGTGAAATAGTTTTTTTTATTGTTCTTAATTTAATTTATGCAAATCCTAGAGGATTAACGAACTCTAAAATCTGGATGGTTAATTAACATTTCTTCACGTTAATGAAGGGCAAAAATCAGGATGAGCGTTGCGAACGTTACCGATTGTACTGTAATTCCTCACCGGTGATGTGTGGAGCAGTTGGTGCATTGTTGTACCCGCTTGAGGCACTGCGACTATTTATTTAAGTGCTCTGTTATACTGCCAACATGCATTTAAAGGGCAATGCAATATAGAATAATCCATAGTAAGCACTCCAAAAGGCTTTTATTATTTATGAGAAGTGGCAGAAACCTGTAATTATGAAACTTTCCACTTCGTTTATTTGTTTGTCTGCTACAGCAGCCTCTCCTCTCTTCCTCCTGTGTGTTGCCTTGAAGAGGTGCCACTCTGTGTAGCCACTCTGTGCATTCATGTCTGTGTGTGGTACCTTCGGTAGAGCAGAAACTGTCACTGTTCTTTTACTTTGTAATAAACCTGCTTGCAGAAAGTCTCCTGAAGCTGCTGCTGTGCACAGAATCCTCTGTTGTTGCATTGTTTGTTAGTTTTTTTTATTCCACCTCAAAAAACCTCATTTGATTTAATGTTTTGAGTTTGTTTTCCATAGTCTTTTTCTTCTATTGCAGCCATCTTTGTCTGGTGATTTTGTCAGGGTGGAATGTTTGCAGAACCTTTCTCGTTTAGCTGTGAAATACTGCATCAGTCTCTCAGTCAGAAGGTGCAGGTGATGAAGCATTTTTAAACTAAACAGACCAAATCTATGAAGCCATACCAAAGTATTACACCAAACACTCAAAACATCACCCATCAGTCGCATTAAGGACGTCTCTTGTAACTTATGACTTACGGGGTGGATCAGTATATTGGTCGGCTGATATTTACCATTTGTAATATATCTGCATTGGCCGATATACCTCCTTAGTATAACTGATTTAAAGACGGGCACATCCGCGGGCAGAACGTAGATGCATATTTACATTCCTGAATAACATCTGCATAAAAAAAGCTCTAAAAATCATTTTCAACTTAAATATCTTTTTATATTCCAGTTTTGAACATGTAATACTTGGTCAGTTACTTGATTTGTTTGATTAACTTTAGATAGATGTTGGACTTTAACACGGAGCAGTGCACAAAATTAAGATTTAGCAGTGTTCAAAAACCGATTCAGATTCAGAAATTTTGTTCATCAACAGATGTGATTAGTGACATTTTATCACGCATGAAAATCAACCCAAAAAAATAAATCAGCACACGTCGACCATCTGCTGACCATGACCTCTAAATATCAGTATCGTCAACCTCTAATTCCTACGGTAATATAGCCATTTCCTCCTTTTAATAGTTCAAACTTGCAAGCCTGGCCTGGTTTCAGCGTTGACTGAGCTACATTAGCTCGGCTGTCAGCATGACTGGCCTATAGGAAGAGCCAGATCCCCTGGGGACCACAGGTGCTGTGGAGCTCAGGGGTCAGGGTCCTCTGAGAACCACTGTGTTTAGTGTGATTGGTTCTGTTGGACACAGACCTTGGCCCGGATGGCACTTTAAAGTGGGATATATCCTGCAGAAGCTCTGATGCTTTTAGAAAAATGTGAGTAATTGAATTATTTTATTTCTTTGCTTGTCATAAAATGAATGGACTTTGATATGATTTGATCAAATGTGAATTTAGTTGTTGCATTGGGTAAACTAGGATACAGCTTTTGAGAATGAAAACAAAAATAAAAATATGTCTAAAATGTTTAATTTTAGAAATTATTAAAGAGAAAAAATGTCTGTTTAGTATAGGGAATGTTTCATTAACGTTTGTTGCTTAGCTGTCTCCTGTCGTGTACTTATTTACTTTTTTTAACTAACCTTTTACTCAGGTGTGTCTTTGGAGAAGTTCTGGTACCTTGTTCAGAATCTAAGCTGACCTTAATGAAAGACTAAAGCTGAGATAATCTTAATTTAAACGTGTTTAAACGACTAATACCCTTAATTGCTGTATCACAGGCCCTTCTAGCTTCTAGAACAAAACTCAACAATGTCAGCCTTCAAAGACATGCTGGTTTCTGCTGCACTCTTTTCCATCTTGGGATTATTTCACTGTCACAAGTTGCCAAGTAAGTTTACTTTTCATTCAAAGCACTTCTTATTGTTTATCAAAGCAATTATTTAAATTATGTAAAATTGGCAAAGAAATAAAAATAATGCACAATGTGATTGTTTGAAACTTGGTGCTAAATGTGTTCGTCCTTAAATCAGTTACATGTAAACCATTCTAACAGCGTAACTTCACACCTTCAATGGCGTGATGTCCAACTACGACCAGCAGATATCAGTGTTTAGCAATTGATGGTTCAGTATTGTGCATTAGCTAGTATTGTGTGCCTGTTGCCAGTGCTACTGTGGTCATAATGAGGTCATTCTTGGGTGAACCTGAGAGTATGAAGCTTTGATGCCCTGCAGCTGACGCTCCCTGTCACCATTAAAACACCCGTTACCACAGCGGCTCATTGCCTGGGCTGCACAGTAGGGAAATTTACTTCAAGCTCAATTGAGAAAAGAGAAAAAGACAACAGTCTTTAATTCTGCTGAGGTCATAGCTGTAGTTATTAGAAGCATGTTCAGCTTTCATCCACATGCTAGCGTCACAGGAAAGACTACAGCCATGCTGATCTCATACAAACTACAGCACAAAAGCCCCCAGTGTTTTAGAGTTCAGGAGCTAAACACACCTGTGCAGGAAAATAAACATGCTACTGTTTACATCATCAGATGACATGAGAAAGGACGGTGCTTTAAAATTCAGTTAAATAAGCCTTTAGATCCAAAAGGCTTTTGACATTTGTTGTGACGTTATGCTAAGTTCAGAGGTTGTGCTGTCAGGCTTTGATCTGCTGGAGGAGTTCCGTGTCCCTGAGACCAAAGGCGTGAGGAGAGTGGATGGATCTCAGCCTGAGGCTGTGGCCTACAGAGTCAACCCCTCCATTCATCTACGGAAAGCCACAAGGTACAATTCAAAGCCAATTAAGCCAGATGAATCCTATTAATATGATCAGTTTGTATGTGTCTTATTGAGTTTATTTTTGTTCATTTCAGTTTTTTTTTCTTCATCCAGCACTTTAGCTTCAACTTGTGTTCGGAACAAGACACACAAACAGAGCTGTGCTGAATTGTTCTCAGAGACAGACGCACAACTACAAAAATGTGTTTTGTTTGTTTTTCCTTCTCACCTGTTGGGTTTGATTCTACGTCTGGCTGAAGTGATGTAAATTCCATTACTGCTAGACATCGTTGCACTTGGTCACACCCCGAACCACGCCTAAGGGAGAAGCCCTAAAATTATTGTGACCATTATGTATTTTTGTTTAATTGTTTGCTTAATAAACTCAATTAAATTCAGTTTATTTATGTAGCCAGTGAATCAGACAAAGAGTCATCTTAATGAACTTTACAAAGCAAAGATTCTAACGGAACCTACTTATCAGTGTTTTTGAGTTCATTTCATGAAGCTAATTAGTTAAAAGGTAGCAGATTGCTTCGAGTCACTGACTTGTTTTGTCAGTGACTTCACAGCAGTCACAGCGGTCACCATCTTGCGGCGCCGCCATTAGAGCGGTGGCACTCGCCAATGATTCATTCATTCTGCAGTCATTGTAAACCGACTCTGTGACAGCATGACAAATATCTAGATTCATTATGTTAGACAGTGGCCTCCAGTAACTGATGAAGGTATATTAAATTAATACCAACATTAATTTATGAATTAATCATTTATTTGAGCAATAAATAGGAAAGATTAACAAGGAAATAACAGACTTTACTTTTAAACACTGGCATATAGCTTAGATGTATAGAAGTTAGCAAGCTAACAGTGACAATTTATCACTGCCTTTCAACTGTTGTTTTAAAAATGGTATTTATTTATTTGCCCATTAGTAAGTTAATACTGACTGCTTCAGAGGAGTCAAGAAATTATTCCCATCAGAGCATCGACGCACGCATGTAGCGACAGTGGAGAGGAAAACTCCACTTGCCTATTTAAATTAAGCAGGAAAACATCATTAATGTTGTGTGAAAGTAGATTTGTTCCTGTTGCTAATTTAGATTTTGCTTTGAATGATAAGAAAAAAGGTGTTGAAGTATTTAAAATGTATGGTCACGTTAGCCGAGGATGAGGGAGGCTAACACTGTAGCCCCACCCGTACCGCTGAGGATCACATTTTTTATTAGCAGAAATGCTAACAAAAACATTGTTAGCTGTAGCAAATAAAAAAGGGGAGGAAACAGTGAACTACTACAGGACAAGTGATCCAAGCCACCACAGCTGTTTCATTACACATAAACTAGTTAAACCAGAAGTTTGGAGTTTTTTCTCAAAGGACACCATCTAGAGGTGGAAATTGTATTATACCCTAAGCCCCTCTCTCTGCTTTTGTGATTATGGCTGGAAGCAACACCTCTCATTGGCAAACATGCACCTCTAGCTGAGCAATAGAGCTAAAACACATCCATCCATCCATTTTCATCCGCTTATCCGGAGTCGGGTTGCAGGGGCAGTAGCCTAAGGCGAGAGGCCCAGACTTTCCTCTCCCCAGCCACTTGGGCCAGCTCCAAGGAATCCCAAGGCGTTCCCTGGCCAGGTGAGAGACATAGTCCCTCCACCGTATCCTGGGTCTGCCTTTAGGTCTCCTCCCGGTTGGACATGCCCGGAAAACCTCATCAGGGAGGCATCCAGGAGGCACCCTGATCAGAAGCCCAAGCCACCTCAACTGGCTCTTCTCAATGTGGAGGAGCAGCAGGTATTCTCCGAGCCCCTCCCGAATAACCGAGCTTCTGACCCTATCTCTAAGGGAGAGCCCAGCCACTCTTCAGAGATAACTCATTTCGGCCGCTTGTATCCGCAATCTCGTTCTTTTGGTCACTACCCAAAGCTCATGACCATAGGTGAGGGTAGGAACGTAGATCGACCGGTAAATCGAGAGCTTCGCCTTCTGACTCAGCTCTCTCTTCACCACAACAGACTGGTACAACGCCCACATCACTACAGATGCAGCACCAGTCCGCCTATCAATCTCACACTCCAGTTTTCCCTCACTCATGAACAAAACCCCGAGATAAACTCCTCCACTTGGGGTAGGACCCCATCCCTGACCCAGAGAAGGCATTCTATCCTTTTCTGAATCAAGACCATGGTCTCAGATTTAGAGGAGCCAATTCTCATCCCCGCTGTTTCACACTTGGCTGCGAACCGCTCCAGTGAAAGTTGAAGATCTTGTTTTGATGAAGCCAACAGGATCACATCATCTGCAAAAAGCAAAGACCTGATACTCAGGCCACCAAAACGGATGCCCTCCACACCTTGGCTGCACCTAGAAATCCTTCCATAAAGGTTATAAACAGAATCGGTGACAAAGGATAGCCTTGGTGAAGTCCAACTCTCACTGGGAACGAGCCCAACTTACTGCCGGCAATGCGGACCAATCTCTGACACCGGTCATACAGGGACCTAACAGCCTGTATTAGAGGGCCTAGTACCCCATACTCCCGGAGTACCCCCCGCAGGGCCCCCCAAGGGACGCGGTCAAACACCTTCTCCAAATCCACAAAAAACATGTAGACTGGTTGGGCAAATTCCCACGCACCCTCCAGGATCCCCCTAAGGGTATAGAGCTGGTCCAGTGCTCCTCAGCCAGGACGAAAACTACATTGCTCCTCCTGAATCTGAGGTTCAACAATCCGATGGACCCTCCTCTCCAGAACCCTTGAATAGACCTTACAAGGGAGGCTCAGGAGTGTGATCCCCCTGTAGTTGGAACACACCCCGCGGTCCCCTTTTTAAATAAGGGGACCACCACCCCGGCCTGCCAGTCCTGTGGGACTGCCCCCGATGTCCACTCGACATTGCAGTTGCCGCGTCAGCCAACACAGCCCCACAACATTCAGAGCCTTAAGAAACTCCGGGCAGATCTCATCCACCCCTGGGGCCTTGCCACAGAGGAGCTTTTTAACCACCTCAGTGACCTCAGCACCAGAGATTTGAGAGGCCAACCCAAAGTCCCCAGACTCTGCTTCCTCACTGGAAGACGTGTCGGTGGGATTGAGGAGGTCTTCGAAGTATTCTGCCCACCGATCCACGACGTCCTGAGTAGAGGTCAGCAGCACACTGTCCCCACCATAGATAGTGTTGGTAGTGCACTGCTTTCCCCCCCGAGGCGCCGGATGGTGGACCAGAATCTCCTCGAAGCCATCCGGAAGTCTTGCTCCATGGTCTCACCGAACTGCTCCCATGCCCAGGTTTTTGCCTTGCGACCACCCGAGCCGCATTCCGCTTGGACTGCCGGTACCCGTCAACTGCCTCTGGAGTCCCACAGGCCAAAAAAGACCTGATAGGACTCTTTCTTCAGCTTGACAGCATCCCTAACCGCCGGTGTCCACCAGCGGGTTCGGGGGTTGCCACCACAACAGGCACAGACGATCCTGGGACCACAGCTCCGGTCGGCTGCCTCAACAATGGAGGAAAGGAACAGGGTCCATTCAGACAGTTTTTTTTTCTTCTGGCTCTTGGAGAGTACAGACGCTTTTTTCCTCCTCTCCTCCCTATCTTATCCCAAGGCTCTTTGTCTGTCTTTGGGTGTATGGCGCTTTTGCATTTTTTTCTGTAAACCGGAAATAATGAAAAATGGACCTGGTCAGTTGGTCTCTCAACGCGATTGATAAGATTTTTTCAACGATGAGAATGGGAGAAGGGGCTCCTGGTTGCCCCTCTGGGACAGAGCCAGTTGGGCATATCATGGACTCCTAGAAACAGTGGAACTTGATCTGCCTCTCCCAACTTTCTGTAGAGGATTCTGAAGACGTCTGGATATTCGTTGTGTTGGTGTCAGGTTTAAGAGCGCTGACGGGCGCTGCTTATCGTGGCTGCATGCACTGATGTTTGGAGAGTCCTCTACCCTACCTCCCCACCTAGTAGACACTTATGTTGTGTAATGTCTGAAGTGTGTTGCATTTCTGTCCAAGGTGTTTTTTGCATAGCAAAACTGCCCTCCCTGTGGAGGGTAACTCTGAAGTGCCTTTTTTTCCCTCCACCTGACTCAATCCTCATATAAACCCCTCCAAACTCTATTAAGGTAGCGTGACTCGGGTTGCGAATGACCACAGTCACCAATTCTTGTCATGTATCTATGCCTATATATGTATGTCTGACCTCAGAATTGTGTGTACTGAAACTCTAATTTCCCTCTGGGATTAATAAAGTATCTTTGAATTTGAATTAGAATTGAATTTGAATGAACCCCACCTCCCCCGGAACATTTTGGAAGTTCTGTCAGATTTGGGAATTGAAGCTCCTTCTGACAGGAGACTCTGCATGACGTTCCCAGCAGACCCTCGCGATACGTTTGGGCCTGCCTGGTCTGACCGGCATCTTCCCCCATCATCTGAGCCAACTCACCACCAGGTAGTGGTCAGTTGGCAGCTCCGCCCCTCTCTTCACCCGAGTGTCCAAGACATGCAGGTCAGATGAAACGACAACAAAGTCGATCATCGAGCTGCAGCCTAAGGTATCCTGGTGCCAAGAGCACATATGGACACCTTTATGTCTGAAGATGGTGTTCATTATGGACAATCCATGACTGGCACAGAAGTCCAATAACAAAACACCACTCGAATTCAGATCCGGGGGACCGTTCCTCCCAACCACACCTCTGCAGGTCCCACTGTCGTTGCCCACATGAGCATTAAAGTCCCCCAGCAGAACGAGGGAGTCACCGGAAGGAGCGCTTTCCAGCACCCCCTCCAAGGTCTCCAAAAAGGGTGGGTAGTCGGAACTGTAGTTTGGTGCATAAGCACAGACCACAGTCAGAACCTGTCCCCCCACACGTAGGCGGAGGGAGGCTACCCTCTCATTCACTGGGGCAAACCCCAACGTACAGGCACGAAGATGGGGGCAACTATTATGCCCACCCCTGCTCAGCGCCTCTCAGTGGGAGCAACTCCAGAGTGGTAGAAAGTTCAACCCCTCTCAAGGAAACTGGTTCCAGAGCCAGAGCCATGCGTTGAGGTGAGTCAGACTATATCTACTCGGAACCTCTCAACCTCACACACCAACTCAGGCTTCTTCCCCACCAGAGAGGCGACATTCCATGTGCCAAGAGCCAGCTTCTGTAGCTGAGGATCAGACCGCCAAGGTCCCGCCCTCGACTACCACCCGTCACACACTGTACCCGACCCCTTTGGCCCCTCCCACCAGTGGTGAGCCCATGGAAAGGGGGACCCATGTTTCCTCTTCGGGCTGTGCCCGGCCGGGCTCCATGGGTGAAAGCCCGGCCATCAGGCGCTCGCCAACGTGCCCCACCTCCAGGCCTGGCTCCAGAGGGGAGCCCCGGTGACCCACGTCTGGGCGAGGGAACACGGTTTCCATTTATATAATTCATCATAAGAGGTCTTCGGGCCACTCTTTGTCTGATCCCTCACCTAGAGCCTGTTTGCCATGGGTGACCCTACCAGAGGCAGAAAGCCTCAGACAACTTAGCTCCTAGGATCATTGAGACACTCAAACCCCTCCACCATGGTAAGGTGGCAGCCCAGGGAGTGGACAACACAAACAAAACACATTGTTTTACAATGACTTAATTGCCCATAAAAATACGTCCAACTTTGCGTTAGTGTAGGCACATCCGCAAACATGTGGACATGATCTGTGATTGACATCTGTATGGAAGCAGATGTCAAATGCTTGTGGCTAATTCTGAGCTGTACTCAATTCAAATTGCATGGGGCTCTATGAGACAGGGATGGACTTAAGACAAAAAAAGTTTTGCTTACATAATATCACCATACTGGGTAAGACAATAAAAAAATCATACATAGTTCCTGAAAAGGGGAAATCTCTGCAAGGCTCCTTTAAAGAGCAGGTTTCCCTGAGAAACAGTTGATTACCTATTATTTTTGAAAATGATCAGTCACTCCGACTTTAATATGCAGACTGAATGTGAAAATAGTCTTCTATACTCGTATTTTCTGCATTAGCTCCTGAAAGAAAATAGACAGAATAACGCTTGGTTCAGAAAAGCCTGACAGACCTAAGTCACACTGTCACTTAACATTCATGGACTAACCCACTCATGATGGGGAAGGCTGCTGTTGATTTAGCATCCAGGAAACAGCAGTGAATGTCTCAGCAAGCAGAAACATTAGCATTAGCAACTCCACAACATAGCAGAACTCCTCCAGGCTTGTGTTATTTGTGGAGATGAAAGATCAACGTTGCAAAGCAAACTTAGTCAGCGAGTTGGCCAATCAGAGGTGAGATGTCCAAACATCAGGAAATAAGACTCAAAACCCTGGCATCTTCTGCTACTTTCTCCTCCGGCTGACTTCTACTTCCTCAAACAGGTGCACCAGAGTTTTTCTTCCCCCACGAGTACGACTTACAATGCAGTCATTCCTACTGGAGACCATTGTACATGTTTAAAAATATGAGAAAATTTGACATTTAAGTAAATAAATAAATAAATAAAAATAAATAAACACTTTGTCTTCTAATGAAAATATACAGCAGCCTGAATCTCAGCTTTGTGTTACAGTAACGTGTATCCAGATGGACTTCCCTCTGAATACTCCATCATTGCAACATTTAAGGTGACCAACGACACCGCTCAGACATCCTGGGACCTTTGGCAAGTCAGTGACCCAGAGGGAAGAGAGCAAGTTGGCTTACGTTTCCAGGGTGAGGCACATTCTTTGGACTTTTTCTACACCAGCCCCCATGGGAGTCAGATGTTGAGGACCTTCCATGGTGTGGGAAAGTTGTTTGATGGAGAATGGCACAAGCTGGCTTTGAGCGTAAAGGGCAGCCAAGTGAGGCTGCTTATAGATTGTGAGGAGGTTAAGGTGGAGTCTATCGATGAGCCAAGACCAGTCATCCGCCAAGGATACACCTCCATTGTCAAGCGAGCTGTGGGAGACCGCTCGGCTTCAGTATGTGCAGCTTGAATGTGATTATTATTGAAAATTTAATCCAGTTTGACCTAATTTTTTTTAATAATAGCTCCTGTTTTCCTTTTAGGTGGATCTCCAGCAGATGGAGGTCTCGTGTGACCCTGAAAAGGCTTATTCAGAAAACTGCTGTGAGCTCTCCAGCGTGGTGAGTCATCCTTGTTCTAACTCAGTTACACTCCAGATTTTAGAAGTGGGTGTGGAATTTTAAAACCATTCTGGCCTTTTTTTTATTATCCCTGGTAGTGTGGAGGATACGCTGTGATTGGCCTAACAGCTGGAAGAGCAACTTGCAAGTGTATGCACGGACAACCTGGCATTCAGGGCCCTCCAGGGCCAAAAGTGAGTGCCCCTGCACGGGAAACTGGCTGAACAAATAGAGTCGCTGACATATTTCATGTATTTTGTACTCTGCAGGGTCACAGGGGTCTTCCTGGAAAACCCGGAGACCAAGGAAGACAAGGGAACTGGGTAAATAAACACATATACCTCTCAATCAATCAAGCAGCTAATGTTTACTGGATGCATTCTTAGCAGAGGAATTCACCTTCTCTTGAGGCACACAGAGTTAAAGGTGTGGCTGACTTAAAAACTATTTATCTTTTTTCCGATAATCGATCACTCTGAGATTTTTGTGCTGGCTGAACCTGAAAATAATCTCCTACACCTATCTCCTGCATTAACTTCTGATAGAAAATAGATGGTGAAACTCTAGGTTTAGAAAATCCTCACAGATCTACGTCACACTGAGAATTAACATTCATTGACTCACTGATCTTAATTCACGACAAAGAAGGCTGTTGGTGTTTTAACGCCCGGGAATCAGCAGCGGACGTCTCGGCTAGTTTAAGCTAACCGTTAGCATTAGCAACTTCACCCCACAGCAGAACATCTATAGACTTGTGTTATTTGTGGACAAAACATCTTTGTTGCAAGTCAGTGGTAGTTGCATTATCCAATCCAGGATGAGATGTCCAAATATCAGGAAGTAAATTGTGGACGCTCAGCTGTGATGTGGGCAACTTTTGGGTCAAAGAAACGGCGCACCAGTATATTTCTTCCCTCCAAGAACGACTTACAATGCATTCATTCCTACTAGAGACCACTGCAAATGTAATTATTAAATGAGTAATGCACTCCTTTAAGCTGATCTGTTAGTGAGACAGCAGAAGATCTGTGAAGAATGGTGATAGTAGCGATACACAACGTGAAGGAATCTTCAGGAAGCGGAAGTGACTGTAATTAGGCTTATAACTGATGTTCGCTTTGAGGAAGCCTTGAAAAAGTCCAGTTTGAGTAAAAACCAACATAACACAAGGATACTTTTGTATTGTTATTGCATGCATGGAACTGGAGGTGCATTCTTATGTATTGACAGCTCCCTCTTGTTGATATGCAACTCTATTGGTCAACGCTCTACACTCGCGTAAATGATTCATTTTGCTGTAGAGGCCAGGGGAAGGACTATGGGGAAATATAAATTATGAAAGATTACCCATAGGATAAGATGCTGTAAACATTTTTAAACAATGTACCCCAGCTTTAAAGGTGTGAAACACTGAAAAACCATTAAAAAAATTTTTTTTCTGATCATAATTGGTCACTGTGAGTTTTTCATGCTGGCTGATCATGAACAGTTCCTGCATTAGTTTTTGAGAGAAAATATACGGTGGAACTTTTGGATTTGAAAGGTCAGACAGATCTATGACACACTGTCACTTAACATTCATGGACTCACCCATCTTGACTCGCAACACGTAAAGTCGTTGGTTTAGCATCCAGGAAACCGCAGAGAACGTCTTGCAAATACTAGCTAACTGTTAGCATTAGCAACTACAACACACAGCAGAACTCCTCAAGGCGTGTGTTATTTGTGGAGATAAAACATCCACATTACAAGTTAATGGTTGTTGTTATCCAATTCGGAACGAGATGCTCATATATCAAGATTTAAGAGTCCAAAACCTGCCATGTGAAGCTCACCTGTGGTGAGGGTAGCTTCTAGTTTCTGAAAATGGTGCACCAGTGGGGGTTCTTCCCCAGAGTAGGACTTACAACTGGCCCTTGCTTCCAGAAGATCTTCCACCAGTGCAGTTGACATGTACAGTTGTGAAAATTGTAGGGTTTTGATGAAAGTACTAATACTGATGCTCCATTTGGATGTTTTAATGCCAGAAGTGATCAGATGTGAATGAGTGACAGTTATCTACAAGGGGTTAATAAAAAGAAAACTTCCCGATAGGTTCGTGTAGCCATCAATGGTTTTAAAGCCTGTTGGTTAGATCAAATTCATTACTTTGACCTTGCTTGAAACTATACTTCATTTTCATTCCATTTATCTGATATTTAATAGTTTTGAATTTGTATAGCAGTATATATTATTGAAAAAATGTCATGTTTTCTATAGTAAATCCAGCTTTTTAGGAAAAGGATTGTACTTGTTCTATTTGTGGAAAACATAGAAAGGACTCGGGAAGCATTAGTCATAAACACAACAACATGGCTCAGAATCGTTTGTACAGATGCCCACTTCCCCAGAAGTAGATGGACAAGTGTTTTCCACCGTACCGGCGGCATTATCCTGAGTCAACAAACACTTCAAACAGAACCAGGCCTTTTGTACATTATGAGTTTATTTAACTATCTCACCTAACTGTGAGTAGTAAGTATACTATGTTGGACAGAGGTTAACCTCAAAGATGGCCGACAGTATGGCGAGAGGCAGAACCATGAAATTTACGACATCTCTGAGGCAGGACAGAGGATCGGGGTGAAGGACCACCCACCGGCTGAGATGGGCAGTTCATCATATCCATGCCAGGAAATGCCCTCCTTGGATGCCAGCAGGGAAGGCGATAAACAACATGGGGCTCTGTGATTCACAAGCTGGCAGGAGGTCAAAACTCTAACCAGTTACTAAAGGCAGATGTTTGGTCCCAGATGAGCTACAGCTGCATCTGAAGACAAGAACATGTAGCACGTAAGACTCTGGAAATCTGCTCAGGGTGAATGGCAGTCTACAGTGCTTTCCCAAGCAGCAGAGGGGATTTCTTTGACAGCAAAGGGCAAGGTAAATGCCAAACTGTCGCATATGAAAAAAGAAAAATTCATTTTTAACATGTTCCCCTGAGTGTTGTTAAGACTCTCCGAGCTACGCTGGTAAGAATCAAAGAGACTAACAAGTCATAAATTTAAAGTGAAAATATTCACATCTGCAGCTGTCTGCTGAAGGGAAGAGCTGGCTCCTTTTTCATTTTTAAGAATTTCACAGCCTTTTCCTGTTTTTACTCAATTATGAAAGGCAACTGTAAATAAAATAACAGATTTTTGCAGATGTGTTTTACTTTTTACCACACATTTAGAGGAGAAAGTTGTGTGTGTGTGTGTGTGTGTGTGTGTGTGTGTGTGTGTGTGTGTGTGTGTGTGTGTGTGTGTGTGTGTGTGTGTGTGTGTGTGTGTGTGTGTGTGTGTGTGTGTGTGGTGTGTGTGTGTGTGTGTGTGTGTGTGTGTGTGTGTGTGTGTGTGTGTGTGTCTGCTCTGTCTTCTCGATCCCCAGTGAGTCGTGGTGGATGGCTGCTTATACTGAGCCAGGATCCTCTGGAGGTTTCTTCCTGTTAAAAGGGAGTTTTCCTCTCCACTGTCGCTAAATGCTTGCTTAGAATGAGGACTGATGCAATTTGCTGGGTTCCTTATATAGGAAACTTTTTACTGATTGGCTTAATGAACTGACCTCTATTGGAATGTTTACTATGTGAAGTGCCTTGAGACGACTCTTGTCGTGATTTGGCGCTATATAAATAAACTTGAATTGAATTGAATATTGTTGCCTCAAAGCAAAAAGGTTGCAGGTTCGAAACTTGGATGCAGCCTTTCTGCGTGGAGTTGCACGTTCTCCCCATGCATGCGTGGGCTTCCTCCGAGTACTCCGGTTTCCCCCACAGATCACAACATGCCCTATAGATTCACAATTGTATGTCCCTTTGGATAAATGCATCTGCCAAATAAATAATCATAAACATAAAGGACATCTGGAGGTATTGATGTGTTCTCGATGTTGTGTCCTCCCATTAAATAATAAAGACAAATCACCATCTTTTAAAGAATATTTTTAAAAGAAACATGGTCTGGGTGAGAATGTGAACTCATAAATTCAAGATATATATTTACATTTCTGCTTAGTCCTTGTCAGTATTTGTAGAACCAATCTTAATGTTTATTTAAGGAATGTTGTCATGTTTTAATGTCTTTTCTTGTTCTTTTATGCTATCTGATTTATCCAGATTAAGCTCTTCAAAGGGTTCATGTTTAACTCAATGAAAACCGTCCCTTTACATTTAGATTGTGAATTTTTTTTCCTGGTCTGGTTCATTTAAACACAAATGATTGCTGTTCAAGAGGTAATGATTCAAATTACTTGCAGGGAATCCGTGGAATCACCGGAGACTATGGGAACATTGGTGAGGCAGGTCTGAAGGTGAGCCTCTGTCTGTGACTGCTTACACTTCTGTTTAGATTTTTTTAACGCTTCATTAATGAATCATCACATCCTTAGGGTGAACAAGGAATCAAAGGCGAAAAAGGGATGAGGGGATCCTGGGGGCAAGTGGTAAATTCAAACACAGATTTAAAATAATTCTGTTCTAATTCTGAAATGTTACATATCTGCCTGAGATGCTATGTTCATAGGGGGACAGAGGTCCTAAAGGACTGAAAGGACTAAAGGGGGCAGCAGGTTTTAAGGTAAACCCCTCTGTTGGTTGTAATTAGACCAATTTAGCAACATTTTATCTCTGCTGTTGTAGAACTTCATACCTAACTTCAAATTTTACTTTTTGGCTTCATTTAAAGGGAGTTCGAGGACATCCTGGAGACTTTGGAGAGACTGGGAAGCCAGGAGGAGCTGTGAGTTAACCTTTGAGCCACAGCGGTAAGCCGTGTTACAAACAATTATCTGATTAGCGTTTTACTAAATGTATTGTTTCCTCGAAGGGTGCTAAAGGCCTCAAAGGATACGAAGGGATTCCTGGGTTTCAAGGAGTCAAGGTATTTGTGTTGCCTTTCAGTATCTGTCTTTTTCTTATTGCAAATCATCTAAACTCATCATGTTTGGTTTTTAGGGCCAAAAAGGAAGTACGGGTGTGGCAGGGCGTCCTGGTCCCAGAGGAAAGCAGGTGGGTTATTGTGGGATTCCCTTTTCCACATAAGGAAACTCTTTCTACTCCGTCTCTACCTTCGAAATCCCCTCGTGTGACCAAGGGAAGCAATGAAATCATTTGTGATGGGGTAAAACGCTGGGATCAAAGTACTGTATGCTTTTCGCTGATGTGCCGTCTCCATAAACAACATTAGTTTATGTTGTTGGATGTTGGCAGAGATCTGAAGGTCTGAACTGTATCAACTTTAGTTGGTGAGTCACAGAGAAAAGAGCAGAACCACAGAGATAATCTGCTCTGCTGTACATGAAAGAGGACTTCCATGCTCACCATGTTCCTTCTTGGATGCTGCTCATATTGTGAAATCCTAATCCATAAATTTACCAGTGGTTGTCCAACAGGGTATTGTAGGAGATCCTGGGGAAAGAGGAGCTCCTGGAGAGAAGGGAAAGCCTGTGAGTTTCACCAAATTTGTTGTTTCATCTACACCAGCAAACATTTAAAGGACTTTTATTTAATGTCTGTTTATGTTTGAACTTGTGAAAACTAGGGTATCCAAGGACCTGTAGGCAGAGCTGGCACCTTTGGACCAAAAGTATTTATCTGTTGATAGAACTATCTTCTAATTCCTGCCAACATTCTCAAAATGACTCGACTCTAGTCATATTTTGTACCCTTTTTAGGGTATTATTGGAGATCCGGGTCTACCTGGCAGAGATGGTGATCCTGGTGTAGAGGTATACAGATGTTTTGGACACTTTTAAATAAAATCAATGGAGGCATGCACATCTATCATAGTTCTGTGAACATTATCCTTTTCTTGCAGGCGTATCAAGGACCACAGGGTCGCAGTGGAAAAGTTGGCAGTAGTGGAGTAAAGGTCTGATGTCTTCTTCGTTTTGTAAAAAAAAAAAAAAAAAAGGGATATGGAGCTTTCTGTGACAGATCCTTCTATTGCCATTTGTGTCTTTCATAGGGGGAAAAAGGCACCCTGGGAACAGCGGGAGAAATGGGTCCCCAAGGCCAAACTGTAAGTCACATTTTCAGGCATTTCAGTCACTGAAAACAAGCGCATTATGCCTTTTTTCTAAAAGTATTTTGCCATATTAAAGGAAACCCAAAAAGAATACAGCAGTTCCTTTGGTTGGGTTATAAATGTCTTATTCTCAAGGGCCCAGTAGGTTACAAGGGCTCTGCAGGAAAGCCAGGAAGACCAGGATTTATTGGCCCACCTGGACCTACTGTAAGTGCTCCAGGTACAACTTTGTTACTTTTCTCAACACCGGTTCATTTTCCTCAAATGGTGAACGCATGGTCTCTCTTTACAGGGTCATGTGGGCGTTTCTGGAAAACCAGGACCTAAGGTAACACCTTCTTCATCCATCATTCAATATAGATGTAAAGTGAAAGCCAAATGTTTAATAGCACAATTACTGTGGCTTTTCAGAAAGGCTTTTCTGAGTTGTTGAACCGCATATAATACAAGATTTGCTGATGTTTTTCCAAACCAAGACTTTTTCCTGGAAATAATCCTTACAATTTTCAGGAATTCTACTAGAAGATCCACCAAGTTAGGCGACACATTTCCTACATGGAACCTGCACAGCTGTCAGATTTTACTCTTATGTTGTCATCGAGCAAGCTTCTAATGAAAACAATCAAACACTGTGGCTCAGTGTGTCCTCTCCTCTTGAGCAAAGGGTAAAAAAAATAAATGAATAAAATGAATTTCCTTCCAGAACTTCTTCTGGGTGTTCACATAATGACACAAGATATATTTAAAATATATATGTTTCTGAAATTTGGAAACAAGTGTTTATGGTTCTGTGAGTTTTCTAAAGAATTAGCAAGGCAGATATCTAAGACAAAATTAGATTTCAGAATAACGTTTGGAATTTATGCCAAATATGAGAAATATACTAGCCGGCCAAAAATTTGCCACAAAAAAAGGCCACACACTCTAATATTCTCCACAACATCCCAAAGATTTTCAATGGGGTCAAGGTCTGGACTCTGTGATGGCCAATCTGTGTGTGAAAATGATGCCTCGTGCTCCTTTAACCACTCTTTCACTATTTGTGCCTGATGAATGCTGGAATTGTCATCTTGGAATAAGCCCGTGCCATCAGGGAAGATGGAATAACCTGGTCGTTCAGGATTTTCAGGTTGTCAGCTGACCTCATTCTTGGAGCACATCCTGTTGCTGAACCTAGACCTGACCAACTGCAAACACCCCAGATCATAACACTGCCCCCACAGGCTTGTACAGTAGACACTAGGCATGATGGGTAGGCACTTAATCTGCCTCTCTTCTCACCCATCACTCAGGAACAGGGCCGACTGGACTCATCAGACCAAATGACCTTCTCATTGCTCCAGAGTCCAATCTTTATGATCACTAGCAAACTGAAGCCTTTTTTTCCAGCTTGCCTCACCGATTAGTGGCTTTCTTACAGCTACACAGCTGTTCAGTCCCAATCCCTTGGGTTCCCTTTGCATTGTGCGTGTGAAAATGCTCTTGCTTTCACTATTAACCATAGTCCTGAGTTTTACTGTTGTTTTACTTTGATTTGATTTCACCAAATGTTTAAGTGATCACCAGTCATGGTCATTCAAGAATTTTTTCCAGCCACATTAATTTCTTGAAGACGACGGGTCCCCACTATCCTTCCTGTTTTTAATGCGTTGGACAGTTCTTAACCCAAATTTAGTCATTTCTACAATCTTCTTAGATGTTTTCTCAGCTTGATGCATGCCAATGGTTTGACCCTTCTCAAACAGACTAACGTCTTTTCCACGACCACCAGATGTGTCTTTCCACATGGTTGTTTAAAAAAAAAGAGAGAAACAACTTGTTGCATCAGCTGGGGTTAAATACCTTGTTGCCAGCTGAAAGATAATTGCCCATGCAATAATTACCCAATAGGAGGCTCGTACCTATTTGTTTAATGAAATCCAGGGGGCAACTTTATTTTGGACAAGCAGTGTATATTTACTAATTCCTTAAAGTGGCAGTGTGTAGCTTCCTAGCATTAGGGGGTGGTACATACATTTCAGGGTAGGTTTACACCGCATCACCGTGACTGTCACTATTTTAAAAAAGCACTACGATAAATGTTGTTACCTGTAGAGACGAAAGCATGCAACCTGAGCGTGACTCCTCAGAATTTGATCCTTCAGTTGATTCCATCAAGAGAATGCAATGCTGATGCTAGTTTTCTGGCACTGTAGTTTTGTGCGCCTGATGATGACATCATCAGGACACCACTCAGCCAAAATATTTTGTACGACCTTTTTGATTCTGTTCTTTCACATATGTTTAAACGAGTTTAGCAGTATTATTAAATTAGTGTTTCCTACTGCCTCAAAGTTTTTGAACGTGGTAACGTAACTCCCGTAATTCGTACATCCAGCCAATCATCTAGTGTGATTTCATCTACAGGCACAGGACCATGAGCCGGCCAGAAGAAAACATGGCGTCTAATATGGCGTCCCCCAAATACACTAAACCTGCATCCTTTGTACATTAGCCCAGATTTTTATGGTTATATGGTATAAAGCCATCTATTTTTCAACATTTGGCAACATTTTGTTAGTTTTCAATAACGTTTCGATGGATATTTCCAGAGATTATCGGTAAAAATGACACATTGTCTGTTTGAAAATTAAATATGCCTTTTTGTATCAAAGCACAAATACAAATCAAGTTTGTATTAGACAGATTGAGTGAAACTATGGGAGTAGTAACAGGGATGAGCCACAGTGGCTCAGCCCTGCAGGGAACATCCATCTGTGGTCTCATTGCACTTCCATTTCTGACCGTAAAGTCTAGCAGACAACTCTGGATGCTGAAAAAGGGATACTAATGAGCAACCAGGTGAAATGTGACTCTATGGGTTTGCAACGTTTCCATGACTGAGAAGCCCGGAGTGAACACAGGATGAATTTATTACTCAAACTAGACAAATTAATCCAAACCACCCACGGGTTAATCAACTAAAACTTTCCCTATTTTCCATGTCCAACAATTGAGCAATAGAGGAGGTTTGTTAGTGTTTCCATTATAAATGTAAATGTATTAATCACCGTTCTCCAACCTTGTGCCTGTTTAAAAATTTGAATGGAAATTGCTGATTCTGCTAAAGCTAAAGTCCTGATCAGCCAGCCGCTAATACAGTTTCTGTTATTTGATGCAGAGCGAGTTGCATACTGTGTTTTCAGAGTCAAACTGCATTAAAATGAGCTGTAATGAGCAACTTGTTAAACAAATATTATTATTATATTTTATTTTATATTCATTTGATGGATGCTTTTATTCACAAGTCTTATTTGCTTTGTACAGGGTGACACAGGGATCCAGGGAATTAAAGGAAAAAAAGCTGCACAGGTATTCCATCAAGCAGAAAAATATCATTCTTTATTTTCAACATCTTGTTATTATTATTATTATTATTATTATTATTATTATTATTATTATTATTATTATTATTATTATTATTATAATCCTGGTGTTTTGGTTTTACAGGGAGTAAAAGGAGTTAAGGGCCCAAAGGGAAGGGTAAGCTGATGGGTCAATAACGCATCATAGGATTCTGATCATGGTTATGAAATAAAAATTCACAGAAAATTTCCTGCCAGTACCTGTTGTAGTCTCATAAACCAGTAGTGACGTTTTACTCTCACATTAAGCCTAAAAAGAATCATGTAAGTAGTGAAAATGGTGTTTTAAATATGCTTGTGTGTCAGTTAAAACATGCCTCATTCATTCACTTGCCTCAGCCGAGTTAATAGCTGGAAAAATTCAATAGGAATCCATCAAATAACATTCCTCACATATTCACAGCATCTGCAGATTTCATAAGAAACCAAATGAGTCTTGCACATTTCTCAGGTGTTTTCTGCTATATTTGGTTTTTATTTAGAAAAGTAATACAAATTTATTTATTATTAAAATGGCTTCAAATAATCTAAATAGGCCACACTTTGAATGTTGTGTGTGAAACGTGTTCTGGGTGTTCTTTATGTTCTGTAGGTGGGAGACAGGGGTGAACAAGGTCCTCAGGGAAAACGAGGAAAGCGTGGTTCTGCAGGTCCACCTGGACGTTCTGGTCCTGTTGGGGTCAAGGGTGTCCGGGGCGAGGGAGGACCTGATGGTTTCCAGGGACTACCTGGGCCCCCAGTAAGTAGAAGACGAAGCATTGAACATATAAAAGACACCTTACTGTAGTATTTAAAATGTAGTTTTCTCATTAAGCACATCTGTGTGAATAAACACACACACACACACACACACACACACACACACACACACACAACTGATCTACAAGCTCGTTCATTCTGAAACTATCTAGTGTGGTTTTTGGTCAACAAAGCGCTACAGAGTGGTGTCAAATGTGAAACTGATATGAACAATCACTGAGATCAATATAAAAGCTCTAGCCTAAAGTAAAAATAAAAACTATTTGCTGCTACTTTAATTGGTGTGGCTGTAATTGTGTAATAAGCCCCAGATTTTACTGCTGCCATGGTTCACTACATTTCTTCGGAGAAGGCAGCAGTTTCCTCAGCATGCTCAGGCACCTCCACTGATAAATGTGGAAATGATTTTCTTTGCAGGGTCCGACTCTCCCAGCTGAGCATGTGATTGAGATCTGTAAGAAGGTGGTCCTGGAGCAGATGTCCACCTTTGCTAACTCAGTAAAAAGGACCTGTGCTGCTGTTTGTCCTCTCTACGGGGACGTCCCCATGGGTGTCCCCGGCCCTCCTGGACAGAAAGGACCACCCGGACCTTCTGTGAGTTTTACAGCATGGATGTTAGATGCTGAAGCTGTATCACAAATTTTTCCGACACCTCACTTTCTGCAGAATGCTGGAATCCAAGTACTGTCAGAATTCTATACACACATACATTTTTCACTTTTGTCCTCCTTGCTGAGCAAAATGCTACCACATTGAAAGGGTCTGGACTGGCCTAAGAAAGCTGAATTATTTGGCAGAAAAGCTTGGAATGAAAACATTACAATTTTCCACGTCTCCATGAGGACAAATAAGGAGTCACCGACTAGACACTTGGTCTGTGTTGAATGGTTCTTTGGCTGTTTTTCAACTGGAAAGGCTTTTCCACATTATTACACAACGTAGAATCGATTCATGTTCCACAACTCCCAATCGCATGGAGTCTGAGGCAGATAAATGTCATTAAAGTTACGAGAACATTAAAAAAGTATTAAAATCATATTACATTACAGTGATGAAGCCTGAAGTTTTGACGTCTACTGCCAAATCAAGTAATGCACCACTTTTGTGAAGTGACAAACAAGAATGGAAATTACGACAGCAGTTGGCCAAATAACATATTTGAGCAGTAGCGTTTGTCAAATTTATTTTGAAAGCACGCAAATGATTAATACTCTGTTTTTTCTGGTGATGATGTGTTCAGGGGGATCCTGGTAATGATGGCGCTGCTGGGGAAACGGGCCCTCCGGGTTTCTATGGAGAAGCTGGAGAACCTGGTAGACGAGGAGAACCAGGTGTGGAAATGATGAGTTACAAACCAATCAGGGTTGATGTCAAAATAAACTTTATTTATAGTACTTATATAAAGGGCATACATAGTTACAGAATGTCAGGATTGTTCGGATCGTTGAAAAGAGGCAGTCATTAGTCGGTCATTTACCTTAAAGAGACATTCAAAAGGCTGGCTCTTTTGGCACGAAGCGGTGCTGTGGGAGGGGCCGCATTCTGCCAAAGTTTGTAAGAGCGCGGAGGTATGTGTGTGTGTGGGCGCCACTGGAAGACAACATTAACGGTTCTCTACAAGGAAACGGCTCTCATCGCTCACTCTGAAAAAATGGATTTCTTTGTGAACATCACATCTACAAGTTCCATGAAGGGGGGGTTCACTAAGAAACATAATACTTGTTCTTCTTGAAACACGATTGGTCACTCTGAGTTTCACATGCAGGTTGAATGTGAAAATAATCTTCTACCCCCATTTCCGCTCTGGTTAGAAAAAGACACACGGATCTACATCAATCGTGAACTCACCCGGGGAAGGCTGTTGTTTATTTAGCAGACAGGAGAGAGCAATTCGCTTCTCGGCTAGTAGCTAACTATTAGCATTAGCCTCTCCACAACCTGGCAGAACTTTTTCAGGCTTGTGTTATTTGTGGAGATAAAACATCAATTTTTGTTCAACAAGCGAACGAAGGCAGTAGAAGAGTTGTGTTGCTGTTAGCCAATCAGAAGCAAGATGTCTGAATATCATGAATATTACAGAGTAAGATTCCAAATCCTGATGTTTTCTGGCCCTCCAGTGAAATTCTGTTTACTCAAACAGGAGTGCAAGAACTTTCTTTTTCACAGATGACTCACGAGACATTCATTTACACTAGAGACCACAGCAGATTTATTGAAATAACAAGGTTAGACCTTTTTGCTAGCCTTATCTATCATTTGTTACAACTATGCTGCTTTAGAGCGTTACACATTGCACATTACCTCATTTCTCTGTAGATAGTTTGCCTAAATCCAAATATGAGTCTGTTTTAGATGGAAACTTTGGTATTCACCATTTTATTAATAGAAAATTATACAACTTATTTTCTCCTTGATATCATTTTATTTGAAGTCCAGTTAAACACAGGTTAAACTCTTTCCATTGGTAATTGCTGATTTTCTTACTGTTAAGTACTTGATGAAAGTACACACAGAACTGAGAGGTTAAACTTTTCTTTTTCATTTTGATGGTATGAAGTCAGAATCCGATGCGGCAGTCAAATTTCATGCTATTCCAAAGAAATCACAAACATTTTTTATAAGAAGTTCTAAACATTTATTCAACCCTTATCACGTTTAAAGTATGTGGTTTTTAGTTCGTGTGAATGGTCTGAGTCAAAATGATACATGAGGGAGTTTTTTACCCCCACCACTTTTCTGTAATTCCTGCTAAATGTTTGTGGATGATTGCAGGAGGTAGAGGAGAGCGGGGTGATAAAGGAGCCAAGGGCTACGGGCTGCCAGGTTATGCCGGTGATCAGGGAACAAAAGGTAAATCTCATGTTCAAACATGTCTACTTTTTAACTAAACCCATAGAGCCAAATTCCGCATTTGTGCCTTGTATGTGTGTGTGTGTGTGTGTGTGTGTGTGTGTGTGGTAGAGGACTTGCTAATGTAACCAGATTTGCTGATTTACCAAAAAAGGGAAGTCTCATTTCTCTGAAAGTCCTCTCTTCTTGGAAGCTGAGAAAATCGTCGTACTCAGCTATCTGAGCCAGCTGTAAAGGCTTAAGACTAAACACCGTTTCTGCCTCCATCACAGGTCAGCGTGGACATGCTGGCAGAGCCTTTAACGGTCAGCCCGGGAGACAAGGGGAGAGGGGACACATGGGCCAACCGGGACTCAGGGGCCACCCGGGTCTCAGAGGACCTCCGGGGGTCTGCACCACCTCCGGATGTGCTAATCTGAACCCCCCCACAGGGACACCCCAGCCGGCACCACGGAGGCTCAGGAACCGCTCCTAAAAAAACTAATTTAAACAATGATCTCAAATAGCGAAAGAAACAGTTTTGATTCTTTGTAAATGTTTGAATAAAATGAAAAATTATGTAAATACCACAAATAAAACGGAAGTTTTAAAAGCTGTGATTTGGAAAGAATTGGGAACAATTTATTTTTTTATGAAAACAAACCGTTTAAATTAGTTTTAGCTTAATTTAAACGGATCCTCTCACATTTAACTCATCTTTCAGCATCTGATCTTTCTAATAAAATACTGAAAAATGCCAAACTGTGTCATTTAAAGGACATCTATAACATAAACATTTATAAAATACCGATCACATTAGACCCATTTTGCTTGATAAATCGTGCTGACCAGCCTGCAGCAGGCTGAAACAAAGTGACTTAAACGTTTGGAACAAAGGAAACAAGAATATGAGTAATCATCTGTCCAACAGCATCATCAATATTAACCTTTAATTAATCACATCAGCATGCCAAAAGTGAAGCTATGACCAAAATCAACTTCCTATCCAAAAAACTTCATTTTTGGGAGAGAAAAGCCCGTTTTTATTTCGTTGCTTGCATTCAGGGAGGAATTAGTTAAATGATTAGCTGCTGTTAAGCTATTATGAAAAATTTTCGGTGTGATCCAGACAATAATCCGTGTTGCTTCTTCAAAACATCAGAAAAGCTCATTCAAACGACTGAAATCCACACCGTTCATGTTGCTGACACGACTCTAAGAGTTTGAGACTCATAAAACTAATTAGAGGTGAACAAACAAGCTGCTAACATTTTGAGTATTAATGACTTTCTCTTTTTCAGCTTTGGCAAAGTGATGTTTCCAATGCAATTTTCTGACGTTCTAAATGTTTTACTAAACAGGAACAAGTTGAAACTATAAAACCTTGTTTTTTAAATACTTTTTCAGTAGGAATAATGTGTGTTTGTGAGTTCACTTGGATCAGACTAACAATGCACAAGACAGGGAGCTCCACATGAGCAATTTTAGGTTAAATTAGTTCATTGCTGGTGCTATGATCACTGCTACAGACTCAAACACTATCAGAGAAATTTTTAACTCCGGCCCACTCCCGGTACTTGCACTTCCACCCTTCCAACAAATCCATAGGGTGTCCTGACCTTGTCCCCGCCCCTTTAGCAACCTTGAACTGCTCTTCGTCTAAGTACACATCGGTAACCCAAATGAAGGCGAAGAAGTGCTCTTTCCAAAAATGTGTATCAAAATATTGAATATTTTATTTATGTGTTCATATATGAATACAATCAAATGTTTTTCTGTTGGGAAGATGGATAACATATCTGTTGAAAAATATTGTTAACTGACGACGGTACAGCAGTGTATTTTTGAACAAAATATCCCTGCAATTTATTCACTTGTTTTAATATAATTCACTTTTAATATCTTTCAAAGCACCAAAGTAGCACAATTCCCATTTAGGAAGTCATGGTGGATGAATCGATGCACTTGAGAAGCAGGACACCCTATGCACTCGTACCACTGGACAGGAATGTGCAATAGAGGGTATTGGATTGGATAACAGCAGCTCAACTACACAGGAAAATCTGCTGAGTGGCAGCAGATGGCAGGATTAGTGGCAGCGCATTAGTAATCGGCGCTCCTACGTTTTATAAACAGGATGATGAGACGAGAGTCTACAACGTGACGACGAGAGCCCGAAAAGCTGGAGTGAGTGTGCAAATTAAACATTTCACCCAGGCACACGTGCTGGAAACAAAACTGTTGGGAATCGGACATTTAGCTGTGTTTTCATGTGTGTGAGTGACCCCATTATGGTTGCATATGCTACACACATCCATATGAAGCTGACTACTTCACGGATTTTGCCTATTGCGGGTTATTTTTAGAACGTTACTGCCACGATTAAAGAGGATACAGCTACGATGTTTCTAGATTTCTAGGCCAACTATCTCTTGCCTTACGAACAATTTAAACACGGGCTTTTAGAACAAGGATAATTTTTCTTCATCGGCTTAAATCTGACAAGATAGAACACACAGAAAGCTCCTGCCTTTATTTAATTTCTTAAGAAGCCCAATGAGCATGGGTCATCACCCTCCACCCCTTTGGTGACTGCTTCAAATGCCAGATTCAGCTATTTCATCCCATCATCCCATGGCTGCTTCTGTCATGGAAACTATTAGCAATCCATGATCATGCAGAACTTTCTTTTTGAGCTCAACAACTTGCTTTAGGCATGCTCACTATTTATCTTTGTGGCAAACCAGAAAAGAGATCATGAAAAACACGGCTTAAAGCCTGTGAGCCGATTAAAATCTCCCAGCCTCAAAGGGATGGCACTAAATCAAAAGGTATTTGAGGTTTTCTTCTTTCCTCAATCCAGTCACTTATTTAGCGCACGCCAAACACTCTCAGTGCTAGCTGTTATGAATAATAAGCCGGTTGTGTCACTGTGTTTTGTTAAAGAGAGACTGAGAAAGGTTTTGAGGCTGTGAGCACAAGTCTAAATTTAATTATGTATTCAGACAAGATTTTTTATTATATAAACATGCTGGCAGAGCATGTGGAGTTGTGGAGTTGCTAATGCTAATCGTTAGCTTTGACTAGTTGAGACATGCTATGCTGTTTCCTGGACGCTAAACCAAAAACAGTCTCCCCTGTCACGGCTCAAAAAGAGCAAGTCCATGCATGGTATGTGTCAGGCTTTTCAAATCCTAGAGTTTCATTGTCTATTTTCTATCAAAGATAGGTGTAGAAGACTATTTTCATTAGCACACTGACAGAGGCGAGTCTATCATACACTGTTGAACACCACCAGTGTTAAGTGTCATTGCCCAAGGACACACCAACAGCAACAGACTAAACATGGCTCGAACTCCAGTTACGAGGCGAGCACTTAACTCTTGTGCCATCAGCGGGTTCAGATGTACAGTCTCAATGAGACCCAAACCAGTTAATCCAGGAACACCCGTATGTATCTCGAGTGGGAACGAGAATGTGTGGTTGTTACGATAAAGGTAAGAAACTCACTCATTGGATAGGCTGGCAATGATTCAGATGAGAGATAAAGCTCTGAGCTCTGGACTGAACACAGGATGAATTGGATGACTTCCATATATAAACTTTGCGTGATGATGTAGGCAGTGTCTACATAGTTCGTCGAGTGGAATACTGGAAGGTGGAATTCCTGACAGAAATGTACTTATCTACGTATCAACTTACTGTGTGGGACATGTCTTCACTGGATACACTCACAAACGTGAGGGGGGAGTCGCTTCTTTCTTTTGAAATATGGATAGAAGTTTGACTACAATATGTCATTCTTACTTTGTTAACCTTTAACGTTAAGGTTAATGAATGAGAAGTAAGACTACGTGGAATAATGGTTTGGTGTTTCCAGTCTGATGAACTTTGGTCCAGTTCTTCTTTCCAACTGTAGCTCTGAACTAAAGAGCTGGGAAGCATCTGAGCTAAGAAGATTCTAAAACCACAAATGCTCTTGTCAAAAGGTCTCAGCTCATCAAAAATTATTTCTATTTCATTTTTTTTAATTATGGCTTCCCTTACATTAACAATACATTAAAAAGTTGTCATTTATTTATGCTCGCACCTCCATCCATCCATCCATCCATCCATTTATTTTCATCCGCTTATCCAGAGTCGGGTCGCGGGGGCAGTAGCCTAAGACAAGAGGCCCAGACTTCCCTCTCCCCAGCCACTTGGGCCAGCTCCTCTAGGGGAATCCCAAGGTGTTCCCTGACCAGGTGAGAGACATAGTCCCTCCAACGTGTCCTGGATCTACCTTTAGGTCTCCTCCCGGTTGGACGTGCCAGGAAAACCTCACCAGGGAGTCGTCCAGGAGGCACCCTGACCAGATGCCCGAGCCACCTCAACTGGCTTCTCTCGATGTGGAGGAGCAGCGCACCTATTAGTTAAAAGTGTTTTCTATCCAAATACAACACTTTAACATAAATATTATTGCAGCAAGTCATTTTAATTGCATGAAAACCATTGCACGTCAAGATGTGATCAAGAGGAGTTCTCCATCACGAGTACCGTTGTCCATGGAAACAATTGAAAAGAGCAGGCTCTTCAACAAGCCGGCCACTCCCTGGATCAGCAAATCCAAGCTCGTGTTTCCCTGTGTGATCCGCCAGAGTGTGCTGAGGCTCAGGGTCAACAAGGTTGTCCTCAAGAAATCACTGCTTTCAAAGTAAACGGTTTTCCTTTTTATTAATCCATCACTTGGCAAACCATCAGCTTGTTAAAAAGGATGTCATCATGTAAAAATTCTTGTCATAAACATGATTAAATAAATTAAGCTGTTGCTCAAATGTGCATCATGATAGAGCTGACTGATTAAACCAATGCAATAGTCATCTGAGCCAAAAGAAAAGTGAAATAACCTCTAATGTCGTGTTTTGGTTTGTAAAATCTATAACTGAAGTCTTCTGACTCTTAACTCAAACTTTCAACATTTTTGCAGATGCCTTTATAATATAATTTATTCTCATACAAAGTTAATAATCTGTTAATCTGAATGACAGTGTAAGTACACTGTTGCGTTTCGCTTTATGAATTGTCTGCGTACGTCGAGGTTCTGATGCAGACACAGCTGCCCTTGGGTCCAAACATGATAAAACTTGTTTGAGTGGATTAAACAGAAATCTGCCTGGTCCAGAGATAACAGCTGCAGCTCTGCATTTCTAATGATTTCCAGCTGTCCATGAAGAAACATGGAAGTAACTCTTCACACCTTGTTCGCTGCTGACTCTAAAGACATATTCCGCTGTCACTGTGAGTGATGAGGTGGAACTCAAAGGATCGACTTCAGATACTGCTGTGTTACGTAAAACATTCATTTGTTTGCTGAACTTGTGCATCAAGAAAACTCCATGTTCTTTCAATGTGTTCCAAAAACAACCAAACCTGCAACACTTGGATGTTCATTATTGTTATTTTGGGTGCTTTTTTTTGATCAACAGAAATGGACTTTCTGCTTTACTGTTTTTTGTGCTCCCCTTATCTGCTTCTCTTTCCATCCGTAGTAATTGGGAATGGCTGTGGGCCAGTAAGACCAGAGTGGAGGCGGGTGGGGGTGGTGGAGAAGACACAGAAATAGAAGACAGAGAGGGCAGGCTTTTATTCAGCTGAGAAACATGTGCACCTCTCCCTGAGTTTAGCTCTGCAAACCCAGCACTGTGAGCAGTATCGATCCACCGGCTCCCAATGACAGGATTACTGGGATCTCATACAAAGACTTGGATGCAAACTGGTAAATTTTGTGGAATTTAAAATTTCTGTTGAACATGAAAGCCTGAAATTGTATTTCATGTCTATTGATGCAGCTATTTCAAGTTTTATAAATAATGTTTTGATATTAGACAGCATGCATGAAATTTTTACATCTGGGAGTGGGACGTTTTGACAACTATTGTGTACCTGTCAGGCAAAATTTAGCCTGTTTAATTATTTTTCTTTCAAGTATATTGTGCTTTACGAAGTGGAAACACTTAAATAATCCCAAACTGTAACTACAGCTAAGTTTGTGCAGACTTAAAACATTCAGAAAATAGTTTAAAAAAATATCTGTGCATGATTAATTTTGTTTAGCATGCTAAAACTGTGTGCACGTATCTGAAACAGTGCACATTATTCCAGCAATGCATGTGTAGCAAATATCTTTGCAGCTACAGAGAGCAACATCACAACTCTTCTGATGTTGAACATGTCTCAAAAAATTTGCAAAACAAATACCTCAACGAGATGATGTTTCACAAGGAGCTATTTAACCATTTGGACATGTTCAACAGATTTGGCAGCAGTAAATCCCTCTTGGTTCTGGCAACTGCTGCACGTGCTGAACAGCCGTTGTTGTTTCTGGAATAGAACGACTTCCTCATAGCCAAGTTTAACGGCAGCGATCTACGACTTTAACAGTTCAAGTGGAGTTAAAGCCTCCAGCTGAATTAACTACAGGCAAATATTAAAAACTTGAACTGAAAAAAGTGGGTAATTTTTGTGGACCTATGTAATTAAAAAGATATATGCTAAATAAGGTAAATAAGTCAAAGGTGGTGTTCTGCATTTTAATTTATTCTGGAAATTGTGAAAAAAAAATTTTGACGCATTTTCCTCAAGATCTTTTGCTGAAACCAATCTGGAACAAAAAAAAGACCTCCTGTATTACTTTGATCTAGTTGTAAAACAGCCCAGAATGATAATTGTGTGATTCTGCTGACAAAACTACAATTTTATGTGAAAAACATTTAAATACTGCATCTTAAAAATGAAATCAAAGCTGCGCCTTAAACTGCGCTACAAATGCACCTGTTAATTCAACAGAACCATGCGACTGCACGCCTGGATGCTCACCACCTGCAGAGTCATATTATAAATCCTGGGTGAATGATGACTCCCCTCACTGTAACAGCTACATGTGTTTGGTCACCAAGCGCAGCCAGAGCTTTGCTGTCTGCTGGCGTAAATTAAATCCATGTGGCTCGAGGTGCAGAAATGCTCGGTTTGGAGAAAGTCAATCGAGGGGAAAGTCGTCTCAGCAGCTGGATGTTGCCTGTGAGGGGGTTTTCCAACAACCTCCTCCATGTCTCTGGCGGGGAAAAATTCGGGGGAAAAAGACTTACACAACTACAGCAGCTCCCCGCCCCCTCGTACTGTGTTACCTCCACACTTGAGCTTACATGGTGGAAAAATGCAATCATGCTGAAGAGTCTGTTACTCTGGAGTAAAAGCATTTGGGAGGGCAAAGGTTGTTTCCTTGCCATCGTTTCAGTGACTTACACGTGTTTCCATCTGAATTAAATCAAAGGTGTACGTTTACTCTCGTTAACATTGTTCCAATATTTTTTTTAGATTGGGCGGTAAATCTGGTGCTTAGAAGAAGAAGAAGAAGAAGAAGAAGAAAATATCATTTTTATAGCACCTCTCAAGATAAAAATCACGAGGCGCTTCACAAAAACAAAAAATGTAAAAATACAAAAAATAATTTTGAAAATGGTTAAAAATATTTTAAAATGAGCAAAAATAGACAATTGTGATAAAAAAATGTTAAGAAAGAGAGAGAGTGAATAGGAAAGAGGGAAATCAGTGGATCCTGAGGAAGGTGGAATAGGTGGGGAGAGCAGAATAAAGAGAGAGTGGTGAAGAAGGTCATACAAAAGCCAGCTTGAACAAGTGAGTCTTCAGCTGCTTTTTAAAGGAGACCACTGAGTCCACTGATCTCAGGCTCAGGGGGAGAGAGTTCCAGAGTCTGGGGGCCACAGCAGCAAATGATCTGTCACCTTTGGTCTTTAGCCTGGTGCTGCACAACCAGTAGGCTTTGATCACTGGACCTCAGGGACCTGCTGGGGGTGTAGGAACTAAGAAGATCACCAATGTAAGATGGTGCTTGTCCATGTAAGGCCCTATAGACCAGAACCAGGATCTCGAAATGAACACTGAAGTTAACTGGCAGCCAATGAAGCTGGAGGAGAAGCGGGGTGATGTGGGTGTGTTTGGAGGACTTGGTCAGAAGCCGAGCACAGGCATTCTGAACCACCTGTAGACGGTTCAGGGAGGTTCTGCTCAGACACGTGAAAAGAGAGTTACAGTAGTCTAAGCGTGATGAGATGAAGGTGTGGAGAACTGTCTCAAGTTCAGAGTGGGACAGAATGGGACTCAGCTTAGCAATGTTCCTGAGATGGAAGAAGGAAAAGCAAATAAGAGAACTGGCATGAGAATTCAGGGTGAGAGCTGGGTCAAAGGTCATGCCAAGATCCCTGACAGAAGGTTTGATGTGAGAAGCAAGCTGACCAAGAGAGTCTCTGACTTATCTTCATTCAGCTGAAGAAAGCTCCCAGCCATCCAGGTTTTGATAGAGTCTAAGCAGGTGTGTAACAGCTGCAGCTTAGACATCTCATGGGGCTTAAAGGAGATGTACAGTTGGATGTCATCTGCATAAAGATTGTAGGAGATTCTTTTGAAGGAGCTCAGGATGTGCTGAAGAGGAAGCAGATAGAGGAGGAAGAGCAGAGGCCCCAGCACAGAACTTTGTGGGACACCATGGGTAAGGGAGGTGGTGGAGGACCTAAACTTGGAAACGGCCACAGAAAAGGAGCGCTCAGAGAGATAAGAGGAGAACCACTCCATAGCAGTCCCTGATAGGCCTACCCAGTCTCTCAGCCTCTCCAGTAGCAGGTGATGGTCAACAGTGTCAAAGGCTGCAGTCAGGTCCAGCAGGACCAGAACAGAACAGTCCCCTGCATCACTGTGGCCCAGGACACCCCAGCCTGCTACTGGAGGTGGAATTCCTCATCTGACACAACCAGTAGTTTATTCTCACTCTCTGCCTTCATCTCGTGCTTTTGGGACCAGTCGGCCGTGTGAGAGTCCGGCCACTACTCTGTGGGCTCAGAATGATCCTACAGGCTTGGGTGCTAACATCCTCTTTGCTCCTGCTGCTCCCACAGTTTTGGCACCTTTACAACAGCCTAGCACTGATGTCATTCAATCACCAGATGGTCCGCTAGACCTGCAGCCCCCACAGAGGATCCAGTCAACCAGTCAACAACTTTTAGAAAACCTAGAGAACCCACCAAAGGTGAGTGTTGCAGAGCCAACCGACTCTCAGAGCAACCTGGGCTACGCCTCTCTCCTCGTGTCCAGCTCACTTCATCAGCCTGTTTTGATTGCCCCACCTGTATCCAATTACAGTGTGATTCGTCCCAGAGGCCTCGCTCAATCATCCACCCAAAGTAGTCACAGGGAAGTTACCCCCACCCCTGATAGATCACCTGCACAGGGACAGGGTGCCAATATCTCTCAATCACCTTCTCTACCTTCCAAACAAAATCCACTTTTTTCTGCTGGACCCATAAATTTTAGCTCCTCAACTGCTAACCAGGGTCCACTGAATCTGACTCGAGACAAAACGAGAACTAACCATACGGCGAGCAGGAGGTGGGGACGCAGAAACTGACAAGTTAAAGAAAGTGCAATAGTGATCTGAAATATAAACGTCCTCAGGACAAACACTGTCAGCATTTAGACCCAGGGTAAAAACAAGGTCTAGAGTGTGCCCCCTGGTGTGTGTGGGGCCAGAAACATGCTGGGTAAAGCAAAAGGAGTCCATGAGGCTGGAGAAATTCATGGCAAAGTGATCGGAGGGGTCACCAACGTGGATGTTAAAGTCACCAACAATCACCAGTCTGGACAGCTTCACAGTGGAGGATAGAAAGTCACTAAACTCCTGAAGGAAAGAACTGTTTGGACCAGGTGGACGATATACCACAGCACAGTAGAACGGGTCCTTATGCCCAACTTTACTCAGCTGCAGTTCAAAGGAAGCAAAGTGACCAGAGGTTGTAGAGCTACATAGAATATGGTCTCTGAAAACAACAGCTAGGCCTCCCCCACGACAAGAACCCCGGGGCTGGCTAAGAAAAGAATAACCACTCGGGCAGAGTTCAATCAGAGCAGAATAATCAGATGTTTGCTGCCAAACTTCAGTCAGAAACAGAAAATCCAGGTTTTTAGAGAGAATTAGATCATTGAGCAGGAAGGTCTTATTGTTAACAGAGCGGGAATTTAATAGAGCCATGCTGAGTGAGGTGGAGGAATCAGAAACTACAGAAACAGCTGGAGTTAGTGGACGTAAATTAGCAGGGTTAGATCCACGGAATGAGGACAAACCAACCTTAATAAACTTGGAAGGAGAAACCGTGCCGCAACGCGGCCTGGTGGGAATGTGGAAGTGGTGCTCAAGTTGCCAAACAAAGGACAAGAAGCTAGAAGATCACGCCAATGTTTACTAGATAAACCACACTTTAAGGGAAGTCTTATTCTCACCTAGATACCTGCTCGTTTACCTCTTTTCCTCCGACGTTTTCCCGGGACCGTATAAATATCGCTGGTTGGAATTGTCGTTTGGCTCTGGGCCATTGCGCCACTCAGATAAACAAACAGGGAGGTACGTCCTTGGTGCATCTTGGGCGATCATGAACGAACGGAAGGACAAAAGAGTCTGGTGATCATAGGAGATGTAGCAGGGACACTACTGAAGAGGATCGCAGACAGGAGCAAGGTGGCAAAGACGAGGTTAGTGGAGAAAAGTTTGAAAAAGTGGCCGATGACTGTGGCTACTACCTCCTTATTTGCTACTGCCTCCTTATTTGCTACTGCCTCCTTTAAGGTATTTCAGCAATTGAATGTGTTAGAAACTAGTGAAGAACTGCAGCCGACAAAACTTGCTCACATCAAACCCTCCAATTTAGTGAG